GTGTGTGTGTGTGTGTGTGTGTGTGTGTGTGTGTGTGTGTGTGTGTGTGTCCATCCATCCTCAGCTGCTGGCTGTGTCCCTGCAGGAGGCGGCTGCCCTGCATCATGCTGACCCTGCGTATGGCTCAGAACCTGAAGACTGCCATCACTTTCATCGAGCAGGGCCGTATCCTTCACCCCTAAATCACAGATGTTATATCTCATTGTCTCTTGTGGTCCTGGTGGGCCTGTGCAGTTCCACCTGCTTCTCCTTGACTCGGGGTCAGATGTGCGCGTCGGCCCAGATGTCGTCACAGATCCAGCGTTTCTGGTCACAAGGTTGGTTCGAATATTTCAGCAGCGTGTTCCCAAGTAAAGACTCAAAGTGCATTTATTAAAACATCTCTAACCACTAAACTCACTTTTTACTTTTCTTTGAAGAAATCTGGAAGATTTTGTCACCTGGGTGGACTCGTCAAAGATCAAGCAGCACGTCATGAATTACAATGACGAGGTGAGACCCTGCAGGGTTTACTGGGTTTAATGAAGTTCTGACTCTGAGGCAGCTCTGCAGTAAACTGTGTTCAGAGCTGAAGTGAGGCTGGGTGATAACGGCTTAAAATGCACCCATATAACACTTTCATTTCAGTCCACATTGGTAATTATTGATTCGTTTTTTGTTTTACCTGTTTGAAAAAAGACCCAGGAGAAAATAAAGGCTGATTAGTTCTGCCAAACTTTTTACCTTTCCTCTTTTATCCACCATTTCCTCTCCAGCTGCTGCAGACATTTTCTCCTTGTACCTTGTTTATCTGGGCTGAGAGGGCAAGCAGCTAAAGCCTTTCCTCTGCCTACATCCCCCAGAATGCCGTGCGGTTCTGGATCAGAGTTAGAGACATATTTTCATTATTATTAATCAAGTGTCTATCATTGAGTTATTGCCCAACACTGGCAGGAAGTACATCTGCTCCTCAACATGTCCTAAAGAGGTGTGTTGTTTATTTTGAATGGGAGCTATGAAGAGAAGTTGTGAAGAATTAATATCCTACCTGCTGTAGATGGTGAAGATCAAAGTAAAATGCTTTAAAATGGTTCAAATTTTCAACATTTCAAAACTGTTTTATCTTWTATTTCGCTAACATTTACAGCAGGGCTATTCAACTAAACTGCTCTGGGGGCCACAGTTACTGCAGGTCAACAGCTGAGGGGCCGAACATCTAGCAATTAAATTTATTATGTAAATAAACCAAATATTACAAAGATCTGTTACCTTTTGAAATGGTTCCTTTTATTGTATTTAATCATGAATACAACATACAGAACCCTATAAAAGTAGTGATAATTAGACTATATCAAAAGCAAAACAAAAATAACACATTATGCGTCCTATTTGACACAAATATTTGACATCTCTGACTTGCCAAATTTTTAAAATCAATTTTATTTTCACTTTCATAGTTTTATCGTCAACTGCTTGTAATTTTTACTGTCTTAGATGTTCATAGAAATGATGTTTCTGTAGATRCCAAACATGTTTATGTTTAACTGAAAACAACWCKTAGTAATTAAAGTAGCAAACWGGAGATTTGGGCTTAAGAGATGAATGAACCAATCTGCGGGTTGAACGTTGGTCAGTCACCAMTTGAATAGCCCTGACTTACARCTTTTGTCAGTTTCATATTTCACTCAGTTCTTTGCAAACAGCAGCTGTAARGTTTGCAGCACAGTAAAGTACATGTCATGGCTTTACAAGAGTTTGAAGTGCAGAGTCAGTTTGTAGCACACCTAAGCTAACGGTGGCTAGTTCAAACAGACCCACTCCTGAAGCTCTGTTGTTCCACATTTCAAAGCGACTCATGCAGAAACATTTGACATCACGGTCAGGTTTGCATTACGTGCTACAGCTAYCTGCTGCTTCCTTTAACCGCAGTGTTTTCTTTAATGTGAGGACTGTGTAAAGTCAAACTGACAGTAATGTAAAGACTTGTAAAATAAGAGATTATAAATAATGGAGATTGGAGTTGTTTGGAAGTCGGAGCTATCCGCTAACAGTCATAGCTCTGTTCAGACTAGCCTTTAGCTCATCAATCAGTCAGATGGTTTTCCACACCGAGGTTGTTTAAACAGCTGTARGTGACCTACTGGTTCATAACCATTCCACATTTTGTAATTTAATAAAATCACCATCAGCTTGCAGAAAACGTTAATTCACTCATGATCAAACAGTTCYGCAGCAATTCTGTTTTCATGACTTCATCAGTTTCTCTAACTGGAGGGATTTTAGCCCACTCTTATTTCCACTGAGGTTTGTGAGCATTAGATTCTGATGGATCCTCATCACAGCATCAAACTCCGGTTGAGTTCTCAACATTCTTTCATTTTGTTTGTATTTGTTTTTGTACCCGTTCTGTTGTACAGGGTGAGTCAAAAGTCTCAGGACAATCTTTTATTTCAGAGGCAAAAGAAAAWATGAAATATGTGAATATCCCAGTAAGTAAGGGTGAGGGGACATGGCTGCCATGTTGGTTCAAAGACAAAATGGGATGCGGGTTATTTAGCATGTAAACACCAGAGTTGTCTCAAAAATAGATTTCTACGTCCAGTTGTGTAAAATGAAAAGTTTTGAACAACATATCTCTTCCTGTTTGATGTGTTCAYTGAGTCTCTGCAATGTTCCCACTTGTTGTTGCAACTTGTAAAACTTTAATCTGTCGTGGTCTTTTCAGAGAGACGAGGGTTTATTATTATTTCCAAATAATTTCCCTGTCATGAACTTTGACCCGAGGCCTGCAGAGTCTGAGGTGGAGCTCATTCCTCTCAGCACTGCATMGTCTGACCTTCAGGGTGAATTTACTGTGAAGTTCAGCAGCTGTCTTGAATGGTTTTACTTGTGAAACCTCTTTTCTCTGTGGAACTTGAAAAATGGCCTTTAATGCTTCTCTCAGGTCATTGCTGACGATTTTCCGTCTTGGCATTGTGTTAACACTCAGATTTAGTTTTTGTTAAATATGTTGTGTTTTCTATAAAGTGAAAGTGTTTACTGACAGTGTAGTCACGCTGCTGCAGTGTGATGATATGATTGTGTGTTTGTGTTGCAGAGGGACGACTTTGATCTGCTGGCGTAAGTCTGCTGTGTGACGACTTCAGCTCAGCCTGGTTAAAACTGCCTTCAGATCTGGAAAAACTTTTATTTTTATAAACTAAACAGACGATCTGCCTCTGCAGGACACGTTGGGAAAAATATCGTCTGTGCTTCAGTTTAAAGGAACTCTGGTTTGGCAGTGTTTTTTTTTTTTTTGTTACTTCTGAGGAAAAGTCTAAGATTCCTGCATCATGTCTGTATTTTTATTTAACTTCTAACAGGATGGCATGGAGTCCTGGGTGCTTCYGATTAGGATAAGATTTTTTTTATTGTCAGTGCTTTATTCAAAAATACAACAAACTTCAAAGAATTGTCTGAAACACTCCCATCACTCATTCATTCCTATCAGACTGTTGATTAGTATGAAGGACTGAATCTGTCATAATTAGAAATAAAAGCAGAAATCTATAAATATACCAATGAATAAACACTTAAAATACACAAATTAAATTAAAAAAAGAGAACTTTACCTCATGTTTTATGATTTAATACACCTTCATAT